AAATCACTTTTTTCACCTATTTCCATTATCTGGCCATAAACTTGACAAAGGATAGCTTTGGAATGAGTTTATGGGTATGATAATGCTTATCTTATCCCTTGGAGGGTTTAAAAAAAAGATTTTCAGTGACTCATAGAGCAGAAGTGAATGAGTAAACATCGAACTGGCAAATAGAGCCACACTGAGATCATGGAATAAAGTTTTAAAGTACTTTAGTCTCCAGAGAGCAATTTACTTGAAAAATTAGGTAATTTTATAAATACGGTTGAAATTAGAATAAATTTGATTTCATTGGCATCTCCCTAAATTTAGGAATAATTACCGAATCATTCAAATGACTGTACCAATTAGAAATCAGTATTTTAAAAGATTATTCTTAATGTGAGTCCCTGTAGAATATAAGAGTTTAAATAGTCTAACTTGACTATATTCAAAGGTGGATATGCTATTTTTCATCATTGGTAATTAAATTGGATTTTTTTAATTTTACATTAAACCTAAAAAGAGAGCCGTGGAAACATGCTCTGTAAGTTGAAAGGTGATATAAATTTAGGGTATTATTATTATTCCTATTCCCGTTATTATTCCTATTCCTCACAGGATCCGGCATATGCTTGGCATGATTAATAAATATTTGCTGTGGCTCAATGGGGCCATCATGCCACATCACCAGACCAAAACAGACTCTTTACAGATATTCCTGACAATGTGTTCTGCTTATAATTATCTGTTAAAGGGGTTTTAGCTGGACCATTACCTCATTCTTTGCTCTGCCCTGTAATGTCCTCTAACTTTCTCTCTGTTCTACACACTTGTGACTCATCAATCAGGGAGATATGGGCACATGTATGTACCTTGTGTGACACTTGCCTACATATGGGTTAAGAACCATTCTCAAATCATTTTGAAGTTTGCTTGAGTCCTCAGAGGTAAGCATTAGTTCTTATATTACTTCTATGGGTCTGCTTCCTGAGCACGGTGCCAGGCATGCCATCAGAATAAATGTTTATTTATAGCTGAATAAATGTCTCAGGAAACCCAGCAAACCCTGCTTTTACCCACATGGATGCTTTTATTTCTCTGTCCAGACAATACTTGTTATGTCAGTGGACCTTATAACAGAGAAACAAAACAGCCTCTGAAAAAAGTGCAAGCAAAGCAATTGCCAATACAAAAGTATATGACATAATATGCCCTTTTGGGGATTACATATTTTTCAAGAAATGCTGGCCCTTCGCTTAAGCTGAGGTTGGTGTTTTCTAAATTGTACTAAGATTAGTTTTCCTTATCTCAAAGTAATAGAAGTCACGGGTAGCATGAGTAGATTAAATCTCCAAATAATGGAGAGGGAACTAATTTTAGCCCCAAATCCCTACCCTCTTACTAATGTTTCAGGAGAGCCATGACAAACAACAACACTAAATGGACGGAGTTTTACTCTCCTCTCTCCCTATTAGCATCTGATGGAATTCCTAATGAGAAAAGAAATCTAACCTCATCATTTGTCTCTAAACACTTACATCCTAAATAGGAATAGCAGGCTACCAAGAATCAACTCTTTCATATTCCTTTTTACACAATGTTTTCCTAAAATAAGCAAAGACATCTGTCAGCATCCATTCCCATGGATATTGGCATAGTGGTGATAGAAGGTATTGTCTTAAGCACTGAGCATGCTGCCTCTGCAAGTCAAAGGTCTTAGATGATGGCCTACTGTCTTCCAGGAAATATAATCATGACACATAGGTTGCTCCCAGAGGAGATGACCTAGGCATGCTGGTTTTCTGTGGGGGTGAACAGCAGTGCTCTGTGCTGCCCAATTCCTGGCTTTCTATCTCAGGCCACAGGACCACTCTTTTCCTGGTTAGCTATCTTTTAAAAGTTTACCACTCCTCTTCCACCTCACGTCCGTTAGTACTGATGAGGATGTGGAGAAATTGCAGCCCTTGCACATTCTGGGGAGGAATGTAAAAAGGTGCCGCTACTATGGAAAACAGTATGGTGGATCCTGAAGAAATTAAAAGCAGAATTAACACATGATCTAGCAATTCCACTTCTGGAGGTATTCCTCCTCAAATTGAGTGCAGGTTCTTGAGGAGCTATTTGTACGCCCATATTAATAGCAGCATTATTTACAATAGCCAAAAGGTGGAAGCAACCTAACCATCCATAGACAAATGGGTAGATAAACAAAATGTGGTATATAACTGCAATGGAATTTTATGCAGCCCGAAAAAGGAAGGCAATTCTGACACACTAAAAGATGGATGAACCTTGAGGACATTAAGTGAAGTAAGCCAGTCACATATTATATGATTCCACTTATATGAGGTATCTAGAATAGGCAGATTAACAGAGACAAATGGTGGTTGCCAGGGGCTGAAGAGGGAGGGGAATGGAGAGTTTTATTTAATGAGTATAGGGTTTCAGTTTTGCAGGATGAAAGGAGTTCTGGAAATGGATGGTAGCAATGGTAACACAATAATATGAATGGACTTAATGCCACTTAACTGTACACTTAAAAATGGTTAATTGATCATTTTTATGTTATATGTATTTTACTATAATTTTTTTTAAAAAAAACATTCTCAAGAGTTTACCACTCACCTAGACCTAGGGAAGTATCCAGGCAGTGTGCCTGACTGGTCTACAGAGTCAGCAAACATGACATGTATATTACCAATTCCCCCTTCTTATGCCCACAAACGTTATTAATTAATCATTTCCAAGTTCTTTCCTCCTGAGCCCAGATGCAACATCGTAACCTTACTCAACACAGGCTGCTACATCATATAATTAGTGTTGATATGTCAGCTATGTTGATGTAGGAGAAAATTGTGATGGTTTATGAAATCTGTGCTAGAGAAAAAAATACAATAATATAAAGCTTCATAAGATAGGAGAAATCAACAAGAACTTGATCTATTAAGAAAAAATTATTTTCCCTGTCTCAAAAAAGTCCCAATAATTGAACTAGAAGCAGTACTTTTGGCCCATATTACTACTCATTTGAATCCATTTAACCCAGGTTCAGGTCTCTATATTCTCTACAAAAAGGAACTAGAACTCTTCGAAGAGGAATTGATTTTAAGTCTTGGGATGAGAAAATACAGTGAGTCAAGAATATCCTGTTGTTGCCCGAGAGCAAAGATCCTTTAAAAACTCCTGGGCACGGGGCGCCTGGGTGGCTCATTTGGTTAAGTGACTGCCTTCGGCTCAGGTCACGATCCCAGAGTCCTGGGACTGAGTCCCACATCAGTCTCCCTGCTTAGCGGGGAGTCTGCTTCTCCCTCTCCCTCTGCTGCTCCCCCTGCTTGTACTCTCTCTCTCTCTCTTAAATAAATAAAATCTTTAAAATAAAAACAAAACAAAACAAAAAACAAACTATTGGGCACAGTGCTAAAAGGATAAAGGAGGAACGGGGTGGGGGGCGCTCCTGCTGCCCAAACTATACCAATTTAAGCATAAAATCATCATCATCATCATCATCAAAGTGAACATCTTACATAAATGGAAAAGGTTGATATTAAGTCTTAACAAAGGTAGTTGTGATATAAATGGGAAATGGTAGTTGTTTTGCTGTTAAAAACTTAGAAGATATTAAATACATAACTACTTTGCTTCTTTTCAACTTAATATACAGACGCTGTTAAGCAGGATCTATTATCAAGTGTGAATGTGAACTTGTTTCTATCTGTATGAGCAGGAGAGACTAGGAACCTGTAAGCAGGCCAAGCAGTCTCTTCAAAATTAAGAGTTATACCATAAACATGATCAGCTTTTGTGGTCTCATATCATCCAGAAAGGAAAAACGAAGTCCATCAGTTCACTGTCACTATTATATGTAATAAGTAATGAGAAGAGAGCCCAGTGGTGTCTCTTCAGAAGATAGATGAGCTGAAGGTCACACCTCCCCTGCCCCCGAGAGAGAGCACTGACCCGCTCCCCCAATTTCTATGGAATAAAACCTCTAGATCACCCTACTAATGAGACACTGATAAGACATAGGTAACGTTCCAATTATACCATAGAGGTTAATATATCATAATGACAGAAAAATAACGTAGGTTTAAGCCATCTGTTCACAACTTCAGGTAAAGACACTGAGTTTCAGAAGAAGAATATCTATCTGAGGGGTAGATACATTTTCCATGATGTAACTAGCACAAGTCATAATAAAAGGGTTTTGAACCTCTGGACTGTGCAAACAGATCCCACATCCTGACCTGAAATCGAAGGGTTAGGAACTTAGAACTTGCATCCTCATGGGCCTTTTTCTTTTTTCTTTCTCCCCACCACCACTACCTCTGCCCTCCAAAGGGTCTTTTTCTTTAAGGCCGTAGTAAAATCTCTAAAATCCTAGGAAAAAGTAAATTTTATATCACATAGACTTACTAAGGCACAGTAGAAATTGGATCACAGGAATATGTAAGAATAAGGATAAAAACATAAGTTTTATAATTATTGGGCTAGTTTAATGTGTGCTTTTGTGCTTTTAAAGGTATTCAGGTTATTTAAGGAAATTTGATATATTAGATTTATGATTTTTAATCAGGTCCTTAAGAGTGCTTGTCTCATTTCAATCACTGTAAATGATTAAGGAAATTTGCTCTGTTAAATCCATAAATTTTACTTTGTTGAATAAGTAGTATATTATTACTTAGAGGAATGTTAATTGTGTTTAAAGAAAAATTATTTAATAAATTATAAATTAGACATTAAACAATGCACAAATGGTCATAAATATTCCTTTCCAAGCACAAAAGTCCATTGGACAGTAGAGACCATCAGAAGACAAGACCAATTTGCCATTCCGGGAGACACAAGACCATTAAAAATGATTGCTATTCAAGTAAAGATACCAATGTGCTGAATCTTTTCTATACAGATGGTGCCGACTTATCAGATTTGGTGTGGCTTGCATTTTTGATCAGCATGTGTGTCATGAAAATTTTTGCTCCTCCAATTTCATTGCCAAACTAGAGCTGTTACTTCCATACCTTTTGGCTCATCTGTCTTTCCTCTTGGGTTATCGTCTTTTGTGGAATCTTTCAAGGTTCCGTATTCCTTTTCCATCTTAGCTGCTTCTTCCTTGGTACTATCTGTTTCTTCATGACTTTTTTCTGATGGTGCTGTAATCAGATTGTGCACTGTTATCACCCTATTTCCTATCTATTAATTCATAATGTAGAAATAAACTTTATTAAAAAGGTTCAGTTTAAGGTCAGATCATTTTTTGAGCTGAAAGGAATCTTAGTGATTATCTAGTCCAACTTCTCCCCCCATTTCACAGAAGAGGAAACCAAGGCCCAGAATGGGGAGAGATGTGCACTGAGTTAGCAGAAGAGCGGGGCCAAAGCCCCCACCTTTCCAGGTTTTGGTTTAGTGTTCTTTCCCTTCTGCTACTGTGTCATTAGACCATAGACTCTTCCTTACTATAATCAGTGTAGGCAATCAAGTAGGACATGTCAGGTCCCAAAGTAAGTTTGAATCTTCATTCCAAAGTAAAATAACTCTGTAGTTGTTCAGTCTCTTTATGATGTTGTATTGTTGAAGAACACTCTATACCTCGGAGTAGCACCTAAGAATTTGGGGCTATGGCAGGACTTTTCTTCTGTCTCTTTCTTCATATTCCCTTATCCCTGGTCACCCTAATGCAAAGAAGAGAACTGGACCCTTGCTGTCAGGATGGGGTCATCTTTGTTCACTCGTCACTTAAAAATAACTAATTTCCATATCAATTATACTTCAAAAAAAAAAAAAGACTGAGGGGACAAGAGTGGAAAAAAACTATATTTCCTTCTAGCAATCTTCTATTGAATTAAAAATGTCATACACCTTAAAGTAGCTAACCACTTGAAAACAGTTATAATGCATCCCTGTTGTAAATAAAATAGGAAACATCAAGCAGCCTAACAATAAGCTTTGTTTTTTCAATAAAAGGGTTATTACTATAGAAAAAAGAGGAAAGAAGAAAGAAGTCAGTTGTTACCTCATTATGAAAACATCCACTACTAGTGCTGTGGTCTGTATATATTTTTTGATGTGTCATTTTTTTTCATAGTTGCAGTACAATTTTGTTCCTTGCTTTTGTCATTAACATCATTATAGAAAGATGTTTCCAGGTTGTTAGAAACTACTTGGAAACATCATTTTAAAGAGCTATATAATATTCCATCAAATGTATGTACATAACTTCTGTGATAGGGACACAAAATTAGGCATATGAACATGTGATCTTTTCTCTTTTTGTTCCTTCCTCCCCCGCTCAAAGCAGGCTCCTTTGCACTGCTTGGTTCTGTGGTGTAATGGGTGGAGATGCAGGAGTGAAGAAACCAAGAGGAGGGGGTAAATCACACTACCTAGGGCACAGACTGTCTCAGAGGAGAGAGGAAGACTTGGAGGGGGAAAACCAGTGGAGGGGCAGCAGAGAGTGGACAGATGACCAGGAATAGTGTTCTGGAGAAATGGTGATCTTGGGAGAGAAAAAAATGCCTAAAGGAGAATTTCAGGAAGAATGACTCAGTTTTGTGATATAGTCTCCTCCCTTCCCCACCAGCCATCTCCTAAAAATCTTCAGCGAAGACCTGCATTTCTTTTCAATGCTTGTTAGGATCAGATTTCTATGCTGAGACTAGCCACAAAATAGCCAAGGTTATAGCTACTTAATCCCATGGTTGGATTTCAGATTTTAAAACTTTTGAAATCTATAATTGTTGATCAATGTTTATTGAACTCATGCAAAGGGTGATTGTGCTAAAAGGTAGAAAAATAGTGAAATAAATCATACCTGGGAAAAGTTTGCTTTTATTGTCAGTAACATTTTTTTCTAGCTTGTTCTTGGTCTGAAGAGCAATAGTTTCATCCAAGTTTTCTGGAGGGAGGAGGGGAAGAAATATGAAATATTTTATTTCTTGAGAGATGATATCAAACTTCTACTAAAACTGTTTAAACATCAACAGAAATATCACAAAGCAATTCCACAATATTAACACTGTGATTAAGATGCTTTGACATGGATCTTATTTCTAGGAATCTACTATTCTATACTATTTGGGATCCTTAACTCAGCCTCCTACTCAGTTAATTACAGAAGTCTCTTCCACTTCTCTGGGGCCACTGCTAGAACATGTCTGGGGTTGAAGCCTTTAATGGACACCTGTGGTTTCGGCTTCCTCAACACTTTCTGGTAACTACACCTTGATTTTCCTTTAGAAAACCCAGACCATTCCCATTCTCAGCACATTTGGCTCAGGCGGGGCCTAATAATCCTGGCCTAGCTCCTCAGGGTCTCCACCGCCCTGAGCTGAGTGATTGGTTCAAAGAGGAGCCTGTGATGCAAGTCAGGACCATGAGATTCAATGCTAGGGCCACTGGGGCAAGAGGATCTTTTCCTGCTAGGATTGCTGTACTGCGAGGATGGAGATTGCCAGCCATCTTTTTCCCATAATGGAGCAGCTTATCTGGAATGAATCAACACATGGAAAGTCAGTGCTGGGGACTATTGGTGGACTTTACAAACCTAACCAACATCAGACTACCCCTGCTCCTGGACTCCTCAGTTACATGAGCAATGAATTCCCTTTCCACTACTATCCTGGATAGCACAGCTATGAACAGTCATGGAAATACCTACCTTGCACCTAAGCCTTGTGGCATTTCTAATCTAGTTCCATTGGATAAATGACTTAAGTGTGGAATTTGAGTCACAGGGTATTGGTATGAAACAGTGATTGATCTGAAACAATGCCTTTGATCTACTGTTGAGTAAAGTAGGCCACAAAGCATTATGCATAATGTGAGCCCATTTTTTGTTAAACAAGGTAAAACAAAGAAACAACCAAGGTATATATGTGTGTATATATCTGGAAGGATATAAACCAGAATATCGCCTGGGTGCCAGTATTATGAGTGATTTTTTTTAATTCTTCTTTTTCTTTTTTTTTTTTTTTAAGATTTTATTCATTTATTTGACAGAGGGAGAGTGAGCACAAGCAGGTAGAGCAGTAGGCAGAGGGAGAAGCAGGCTCCCTGCTGAGCAGGGAGCCCGATGCGGGGCTTGATCCCAGGACCTGGGGATCATGACCTGAGCCGAAGGCAGACGCTTAGCCAACTGAGCCACCCAGGTGCCCCTTTTTACTTCTTTTATAACATCATTTTGCATTGACTGACTTTTTAAAATACATATGCTCTTTTGTAATCAGAAAAAAAACCAGTAAAATTATTTTCCTGTGGAAAAAAATGGAGTTCATAGAGAGTAATTCTGGATTATTCTATCCTATGAGATTTTCTCTTCTGTCTAATTCTTCCTCCTCTGTTAGAGATCAGAGTAAGGGGCCATGAGGTCATCTTGCTCAAAGGACATCAGGGATAAATGGTATTTGTTGATTAACTAAACCAAGCAGAAAAACCAAAGGCTTTTTTTTTTTTTTTAAACAACCTACATGCAGAGAGAATGTTCAAGCTTATCTACAAAGTTCAAGGAATCAAAGGTCTGCAAACTTTTTCGGTAAAGAGCCAGATAGTAAATACTCTGTGGACCATCTGTGGTCTGTGTTGTAACTACTGACCTCTGTCGATGAGGCACAAGATCAGCCACAGACAGCAGGAAGCAGGTGCGTGCAGCTATGTCAATAGAACTTCAGGTATGGACGCTGCCATGTGAATTTTACATACTCTGCTTCTGCCACACACACCATTCTCCTTTTGATTTCTTTCAACCATTTAAGAATGTAAAAGCAATTCTTAGCTTATGTGCTATACAAAAATAGGCAATGGGCCAGATTTGGTCCACGGGCAGTAGTTTGCCAGCCCCATCATTGATCACAAAGTCCTTTATTTTAGAGATGCTGAAATGAAGGCCAAGCAAGGTGAGTGCCTTCCCCCACGGGACGGAGTTGTCTGTGGCCGACCTGGACCAGGGGGCATCACTTTCTGCTGCTCAGCCCAGGGCTCTTTCCTTCCCACCACACACACACCTCACTGGTTAAAATCAACTCTTTTAGTCCTGACCACCCAAACACAATTGGAAAAAAAAAGAGGGGGGTCAAATTTTAATAAAATTGTCTCCATGGAGATATTTAGAAAATGTTAATAAGACAAAATGTAATAAATGTGAAATGTTTGTACTCAAGCTGTATCTATAAAAAGTTGAAAATTTCTGGTTAATTTTATTTATATGCATTATCAAGCTGGTCAATTCTGGTTACTCAGATCCATCATAAATGATCAAATTTGTGAGGTAATTATTGCCAAATCCCTTATTCACTTTGGACAATGAAAACTATTACAGTAAAAACAAAACAGATAGGACTCTCACCAAGGTAGGAAACGCCTTCTTCTGGAGATATTGTGCCATACTTTACCATCATCTTCACAAAGTCAATCAACGTTTTCATGATAGTAATCAGTGTTTCTTTCTCTTTTGCCTCTTTTTCTATATAAAAGGACAAAATAATTTTTTAAAAAAACTAGTGGAATATAGCTTCCTCTTTCAGTGTCAATTTATGAAGTAGGCATCTTATCGAAATATTTCTCCCTACATTTATAGCTGAAACCACATATATTTAATTTACAGAAAGCCTAAGACATGATTCAGAATACAAGATAATGTACAGGTATACTGAACTTTTCCAGAAATGGGCAATCAATTATAACTTCTCCAAAAAGATTAAAATATTTTATTAATAGAGTAGATGATAAAGAGACAGTTTGCAACCTGAGGTAATATGAACTCAAAAAGAAAGACGATTTGTGACCCAACAATTTTTCTTTACTCAAGCTATATGTTTTTGAGGGCAAGAATGACCTGTTTTCACTAATCAAACTTAATATTTGAAAATAAAAACACACATGTATCTTTATTTTTTATAACATAAGGTTGATTTTTAATAGTAGTATATATTGCTTTCTAAACTTTTTTTATTTGGAAGAATATATGCATATAGTAAAAATATTCCAACAGTACATAAGTAAATAATAGTGAAAATAACATTTTTTTCCTACCCCCCAACTCCTACTCCCTATATGTAACCACTATTAACAGTTTCTTGGGGGGTGCTTGGGTGGCTCAGTTGGTTAAGTGTCTGCCTTTGGCTCAGGTCATGATCTTAGGGTCCTGGGATTGAGCCCCACATTGGGTTTCCTGCTCAGCGGAGAGCCTACTTCTCCCTCTCCCTCTGCCTGCTGCTCTGCCTACTTGTGCTCTCTCTCTGTCAAATAAATAAATAAAATCTTAAAAAAAAAAACCAGTTTCTTGGGAACTCTTCATAACTGGCATACTGTTCTGCATCTTAGTGGAAGAGGATGGCTAATGATTCTATAGTCATTCAGTATATATATCTATTCTAAAATTTAAAAAAATCTATTTCCATTTTTGAAGAAAGGTGCTAGAGGAGAGCCCATTTTCCCTATTCTTTTAGCTTTTTAGCTACCATTAAGGATTTCTTCTAAATACTCCTAGCCTCCCCGCCCCCCCAATCTTTGCATCCTTTCTACAGATGAGGTTGGTAGGCAATGGCCATTAGTCTTCTTTCTTGACTGATAGGGATTTGGACTCTTCTTTTTGCTCCCCTGGAACAGTGGAAGGCAGGGACCTGAGACAAGTGCCAGCTCTGTAGAATCCAATGATCCTTGGTATTGGCTGTTCCAAGAACTAGACTGAGGACAGGGAGTGAGCAAGCCCAGTGTTGGATCTCACACTAAGCTGCATTCTACAACCCTTACAATGCAGTCTTTATCAGTATCAGAAATATTTTGGTTTTCCACCCGTTTTATTATTTCTCAGTTGGTTCAGACCTTGGGTGAGAAAGATGGGTATTGTCAAAGACCTTAGTGTAAGGATTTAAATTAAAATTCTATAAAAATAAAGGAAATTAAGAATAGGGTCAAGGAAACTGAAAGATAAAAACAAATAAAATAAAAAAATATTCCATACAGTGGAATCTTTCAAATATCATGAAAGTCCCAAAGTTGGGAGAGAAGAAAGATGAGAGAGGAAATGGGGAAGAGATCCTGGAAAAGCGCCTGTAAATAACTTCAGCCATCACATTATTTGTTCAAGGTCACATCTGTGTAGGTATATGGTATCCTGCTGATGTTCTTCCCTGACAAGAAGTGACTCACCAAGATGGCAAAAGTTCTGAGCTGGGCATTTGCCATTCAATGGAGCAAGATGGCTGAGAATGGACCCTCAAGACGTACCAGCCCTGCAGACACCAGCGGAGGGGCTGGTGCCATCTGGCCAATGTCTGGAATTGAAGGACAATGGATATTCCCTAGAAATGAAAGCTCACTCTAAGGTCACTTCTTGGGGAACTATTTATTACAAATGTTCAATCCGGGGCTGAATCTTTGACCAGGGAGAGGAAAAGCCATAAAGCAGTGCAGAGCATCTGTCTGGACAATAACAACAAAAGAAAATTTGCCCATTATAATCTTTCTTGAAGATTAATCAAAACTAAACATGAATTGAAATCTTCAGCTAACCTATTTTGGTGTACATGTAAGAGAAAAGGCACATCAAGGACTTTGTTTTTAAAAAACAAATCATTTTCCAAGTGTGTTTTGGGCTCCTGACCTGCTGTGGTCCAATGTTTAGTTCATTTGAACTCATTTCAAGACCGGAGCTGAAAATGTCTAAAAAGCAAAAACCTGAATTATTTTTAAAAGGATAAATTATGTTATACACACTGTTCCTACTACAAGAGGAAAATGAATACAGCCTTTAAGAAAAAAAAAAAAGGATTTGCAATAAGATTTGAGGCTGAGCAAGTCAGACAGGGACATTGATTTCTCTCTTCATCTGCACAAGGCTCACCTCAATGTCCCAAACACCATACATGTCCAGTAACTGTTTGTTGAACAAATAAATGAACGCTCTGTTAACAAGAAGATTAAACTACCCAGAAGCTCCACCTTTCCTGATTATCCTTTCCTAAATATTTTCATGACTAGTATTCTTCTTTTGAAAAAATTGACGTGAACTCTTTTCCCCGAGGCCACAATATATGTCATTGAAGACTGCATTTAGAAACTGAAAACAGGAAGAAAAACCCCACCCATGTATTTCCTGGAATTACTGTTTCTATTCCACATGGTCAGAAAATAGTGTTTACCTGAATCAATACTTTTCAGTAGTGCGTAGAAGTTTGGGAAATATTGGAGTTCCTCAAAGTTGTCTTCATTGTAGATTTTAGTTCTCCTTTCCAAGCCATTTGTCAAGGTTAAGGTATTAGATACTGTTTCATCATTTTGTCCATTAGTAAAACCATCTTGAATTGCTGCCATTGGAGTCTCCATTGGGGGAAAAAATTAACAGTTTGTTAGAACTAATTATGCTGCAGCTTGATTCTTTCCTCTGTGGTGCCCTTGAATGTGAAGTGCAAGAATACCTCCTCCTTTGCAAGCTCCTGCAGGATCAAACCCTTTTCCAGGCAAGTGGGCATGTAGCCACATGGAAGGGTCATTGGGGCTAAGAGACATATGCTCCACCTGAGGACCCTGGCTCTTGTTCCTGGAGAATAGACAGGGAATTTCTAGGTTCCTCCTTGGCCAAGTTCCCCTCTGTCAGTTCTCATGAGTGTCTCCTCATAGAAATGCCTTTCACCTAGGAGGGGAGCTTTGAAGTCATAGAATTGACAACAGGATACAGGAAAGCCTAGCAGAACAGTCACACCTTGGGGACTTCTCAGTGAAATTTTAAGGACTATCTGGAAAAGTACACAGGACTCTTTCTCCCAGACCTGATCCATTTCTAGTGTTCTGCATCTTAGTTATGGATGGATAGATCCATTGTCCATTCAGTGGACTAGACAGAAATTTGAGCCTTTCTTGTCTCTTCCTCTTCATTTCCTTCATCAGTAGCCTTCCTTGTTGGCCCTACTTTCAAAATCTGTCCCAAATTTGTACATTTCTCTCTTTCTCCATTACCTGGCTCTAGTCCCGATACTTTCATCTCTAACCTTCTAACTGGTACATCAACTACTTCTAATCTATTCCCAACACTGCATTTTCCATGTTGTAGCCAGAGTTATCTTTTTAAAAATATGATCATGTAACTCCTTTGCTTAAAATTGTCCAGTGTTTTCCCACTGGTCCTACAATAAAGATCAGAACCTAAGGCCTTGCCTGGTCTGCCCTGGGTCCACATCCTCAGGCTCATCTCTCATTTCTCTCTCTGTGAGCCAGCCACCCTGCCCTTGTTGGAGCTACTTGGATATTCCACACATTCTTCTCTACATACTGCCTCTCATATTCACAAGTTAACTCCTATTCAGCCTTCAGTTTTGGCTCAACTCACTTCCTCAGGGAAGCTGTCCCTGGGCCTAATTCCAGAACAGGTTCCTTTTTAACGAGGTCTCATAGAATCATGTTTCTTTCCTCAGAGTACTTAAGGCAGTTGTAGTTAAAATAGGTGACTATTTGAAAACCATCTACTTCTTCCATTAGACCTTAAGCTTCATGAGAGCAGGGATTCTATCTTTTTAGATGAGCATTACATCCCCAGTGCTTGGTTCACAATTGGTACCTCAATAAATATGTACTGAATGAACATTTCGTTTGCATTTAGATGACATGAGTGAACAGGTCAAGCATATGGATGTTTTCGAGATGGGTGAATAAGGAGTACAAAATGGGAGTGAAAGATCAGGAAAATACAGTAGCTATGTCACTTTCAGTTCGGATGGTTAGCTTGAGTGAATGTCATGAGTTCTTTGATAAATCAAGAATGTTTTGGGTAGATCTTTAAAATCTGTTTAAAAAAAATGAAAGCTGGTGGAGATGGGAAGTAGGGAAACCAAAGGGGAGCTGTTATGCTATCTTGGAAAAGAAAAATCCAGACCCAGTTTCTGTTTTCTAGCCTCTCCTAAAACAGAACAATAGGCCTATACACTCTTTTTCCTTGTATTTGGGATACAGTGTTGAAGGGGTGAGGAGCCATGGGGTCTGGATGCTCTGGTGGAGAAAACAGGAGAGGTGGAGAGATTGATATTTTCTTCTATCCCTCTGTGGTCAGCTCCATCTAGAGTTTTAAAGGGAATTCAGAGGGGAGAAAAATTTTAGTAGCTTGGCGGATGCCAAAGAAAAGATGAAGAGGCACAGAGTCCAAGAAGGGGAAGGAAGGATGAATGACTAGTAAAGGATGGTTCCAGGCCTCTGAACCAATGAGAAGAGGAAAGAGCAGGTGGAAGAGCTCAGGATATAACAGAGAGGCAGTATCAGGTGACGAGCTCTGGGGAACACAGGCTGGTATGGCAGAGGATCAAATCAACCCGAGTTTCTTTTTTTGGGTTCTGGAGGCAGATGATGACATTCTGTGAACAGAAGTTATATACTGAAAGAGCTGTGAAATATTTGGTTCCAGTCCACTGACATTATACAAGCAGTTGTATGTGGAATGGTTATAACATTTCCACCTAACATTATGGGTTAATTTACTGTGAAGTTTAAGATGTAACCTTTACTGTGTAATATAATATAACCTGTATCTTCATTCTCAACATAGAGTTGGCGTATATCTTTTAACTTACTGGTATTTTGTGAGGATATATTCTAAGTGGGTTAAACGTGTCCCATACTCCAAATCTTCTTTGGCACCAAGATATTAATTATATACAGATTGCATTAATTATATACAAATACAAGTAGACACAGACACATACCCATGCACATGCATATACACACACCCATAACATGCATATGAATTCACACATACATACCGCTTTCTCTGGTATTTTTCCAGCCTGACTCTCAGTCATGCTTGTCGGTTTATTGGGTTCCTCCTCATAAGTGTTGGCTTCCTTTGAGATCAATTTTTGTAAAACCTCTGCTACTTCATCTTCTAGTGTGTGCGCCTGGCTTTCTGTGATCTGTTATAAGGAGTGAAAACATATATAACTGGTATTCTCATACTTGTGATTAAAAAATTTAGACTAAACTCTGTAGTTGAATACATTTTTAAGAAGATGAGAGAATCTTTTGGTCCCTCTTTCTAGATAACCCTTTTTTATACCTCTATTATTTGCTGGCCATTCTAGTGTCTGCCCCACAATTCCTGGGAAAAAGTACTTTTGGGCTGTACAGGTAATCAGGCATGTCTTTGGGAATCCATGGAACACTTATTTTGAGAAATATCTTGAGGGTTATTTCTCTCTTTTTAAAAGATTTTATTTATTTATTTGAGAGAGAGAGAAAGAGAGAGAGAGCACGAGCAGGGGGGAGAGAGAGAAGCAGGCTCCCTGTCAAGTGGGGAACCTGACGTGAGGCTCAATCCTGGGAAACTGGGATCATGACCTGAGCCCAAGGCAGACACTCAACCAACTGAGCCACCCAGGTGCCCCTAAAGGGTTATTTCTCAAGCCTCCGCTGCAGGTCATGGCCAGGAAACCTCTGAAACAGGCAAATTTAGCTCTCTACTAAAGCCTGACAGGGCTGTACAAGGGCTGGGAGCCAGGCTGAGGGATGATCCAATTAAATCGCTTACAGTTTCCCAAACGTTGTATGTCTTTGCTCCTGTTATTCTCTTCTCACACTGCACGTATTTTTACTGCTGCTTGTTAAATCCTAACCATCCTTTTAAGCTGACTTCAAATACCTTCTCTGAAGCTCTTCCTTATTGCCCAACTGTACATAACCCATCCTCTGGCATGCTGAACTGCTTTTATGGTTCTGATGCAGCTTGCATTGTGGGCATGTGTATATTTGTATAGTTCCTTTGGTAGACTGTAAGTTCCTAGAAGAATGTTGTCTTATTTGTCCTCAAAACCTACAGTGCCTAATATAAACTAGAGGTATTATAAACATTTAGCTACAACTTGGATCATGTGGCTTGGATTCTTAGCAAATTCCAAACTGTACTAAGAAATGGGTTTATTCTCATGCAGGACTTACGAGGCCAAGATTCAGCAGTTTAGAAACAATCTTATCAAATACTCCTCTGTCATTTTCCTCATAAATCCTGGTAGCAATTTTTTGGACAATGTCTTCAGCAGTTAAAGGAGTTCCATCTAGTTGATGAAGGCCATCTGGATCATCTAGACAGAGTAATCACAGTTCCACATCATAGTTATCAGAGGTCATGTGTCATATTATATTTATAATCTGTACCTTGCTCATCTACACTCAGATATGTTTGGAATGCATTTATGGTGTTGCTTGGTCCACATAAGCCCTTGGTTTGAAATAAAATTTTACTTTAAAGGTGAGATGCTAAGATGGTAATGGAAATTCTGAAAGCTTCTTATGTGATTGTAAGAGAAAGGAAGATCTGAAGACAACACAAAAGGCCTCTCCATTTTTTATTCTCACTAATAATACAAACAAGGTTGTATTTTAAAATTTACCAGTGGGCCATATTTATGTAATATGCCATATTGTCCAAAACATAATTTGATATTCCATTTCCATACAAGGAGTAGACTCATAATATCTGCACGTGTATTTCTTCTGCTGGCAAATTCCTGGGCTGAGAGTGGGGAACCTGCCTCACACCCAGAATCAGAGAAGGTGTACTGAAGATTTTATGATTTATCTGGAATAAATACTTACTTCTAACTGAACGTGTGTCAGAACTCCTTTACAGAAGACAGCTTAATATGATAAGCCCCTTTCTCTAGAGAGTAGGGAACTTATTTTATATGTCTGAAATTTAAACTTTTAAAACAAGACAACAGATTTGTACAAAGCAATATGTAAATCTATGTAAATCTCTGCAGAGATGCTTGCAAATATGTGTCCTTGGCTTTCCTGGGAATACATTTGGCAGCACTACTTTAGAGTAAAGCAAGAGCCCATAGGGAAGGAAAGGCACAGTAGGGTTGTTGACAAAGAAGCATTGCACCATGTCCAAGACAACTCTCAGGAATCAGTTGGTCTTTTCTAACCTACACCACATCAAGCAATATATTAATATGTGCAAATTTACAAAGCAGATTGGAAAGATCAGAATTTTAGCCTATGTTGCCTCTTGTTATCTATAAATCCTTAGACCACTGTAAAGGGAGATAATAGGATTATCTGTTTCATGGGATTATTATGAAGCTCAGATGGAATAAGATGTAAATGCATGTTTTAAGTTGTAAATTACTATATGAAAGCTAATGTGCAGTATTATATGAAAACTAAAAATTATTATTTATAGTGGATTTGTACCAACTGCGATTATCTTCTAGAGAAAATAGAAATTGAGTCTCTGGTCAAATTCTGCCTAAATAATTCTGATCATATTTACTCAAAGAAAGAAGGCCTAGTATTTCTATTTTTATTCTGTCCTTTTCTTCCGTGACTTTGAGGATTCAAACAAGAAATTTCTCTCACAACCTTTCTTCCAGAATCTATACAGCTGAAGATACATGCTGCCTTAGGCAGAACATTTTCTTGTTGTTTGAAAAGAAGCTTAGGAAACTGAATAGGGTGATTATACATGGAGGACTAGAAGCTTCCTGATAATATATTATTGCTGAGCTGTCGACCAATCCATTAGCTATGAGCCCTTTGAGCCCTGTGTATCAGAGTGACTAATAAACAGAAAACACCCTAAGGAGAAAAAAAAAAACCCATAAAACCAGTTCTCCTCCTGACTGACTGAAAATTGGGTTCTTCATCCATTTTTTTTCAGGAGCAGAGACTCAACTGTTATTTAGGTCTGAGTCTTCCATTTGTGGTTTGCTAGACAGACTCGGGAATATGTGGAGCAGAAACTACCTAAGGTCTATGCAGAGGTGGAAAAATGTATTTCCCTTCCCGCTTAATCCCTCAGGATCTGAAGAAAAGGAAGAGTACTGGTTGCCTGCTGGTGCTGGAAAATAACTGAGATGACTGTTTTTCAGTTCATTTACTTCATAACAGGGAGAACATCAGCAAAATTTGGAAGACACAGCCTTTTTGTTCTGTTGCACTGCTGCATTCTCTTGAGCCAGGAGCCCAGGCCTCCCCTAGCAGACCTTTGCTAGATGGGTTGATAGTTGACCACTTGGACATTGCTCTTTACCTTCCACTGATTTTCCCTGGCTTCTCTAAAATGGACAGAATTACTCAGTGACTTCTGTACTGCTCACAAAAACGTATTTTACCCTCCTATATATACCCTCAGAGGGAAGCCAAACATGAGTTCAACATCCATAACTTTTTTAAAGCAACTACAACATTGTAAGTGGATGTAAAAGGACCATCTTCCAAGTCACAATCTTCCCAGTTATTTTTTAAATCCTTGGCATCTATTTATGGCAACTGACATTCATTCGTCCAACACATTTTTTATTAAAGTCTTAATATGGGCCAGAACAGGAAACAGACTGATAAATAGTTTAGGTGTGATACCTAACTACACAGAGCTTATTGTCTAGTTCATAGTCTGACACATAGTAATTGTTCAATGAATATTTGTTTGGTGAATGCACACAGGAGCCCCAAAGCACTACTTCATAAAAGACACTTGGAAAAATCCTGAATCACATATACTGTAGAAAACACAGGAAAGGAGACCTGATGGGCCCTACAAGACCATCTGGAGGTTTCCTACATGTGTAAAAGTACACTGCAGAAGTTTTGCTCCCTCACTCTCCCTTCTAGGATGTAAGTCTGCCTGCCTCTGAGGTTCCAGTTAACTTGGTGGTCCCAAACCCACCAGGTTCCAGGATTTCCAAGGTATGAGAGGAGACCAGTAATTCACTCATAGACCATTCTCTCCAAAAGTCTTCTCTGTAGTCTCAAGTGGACTTGAAATGACTCCTAGGGTAAGCCTAGAGCCATCAGGGCTAGGACTTGATAGTTCTGAACCCATTTGGGATGGTAATAAAACATTGAACAATTTAAAAATAAGTTACTCAGGTTAGTGGTCAGATCACAAACAGATCTATGCCTCTACCTGCACATACAACCAGTTTGACCAAAAAAAAAAAAAAGTAGCCAAACAAACATTAGACTATTTTTAAAAATTTTATTAAATCAAATGGTCGGTTCAGTCAAAGTAGTTGAAATTGTTTTGTATGCAGCTATACCCAGTGCCTATCTATTTCTAGTCCAAATATTTTAGGTTAAAAAGTAGAATTCAAGAGAAACACATTTCTATGAGTAGTATACAATATGAAATGTTTCAAAATATAAACCATCTCCCCTACCCCATTCATATACAACACACTTATTAATTTTCCTCAGGCTGTGATATCCAATGAAAGTCATATTTAATTGGTAGTTGTTTTCTGGCAGAGATAACCAGCCTAATTCTCTTGTGGCCACGGAGCAGAATAAGAACATTAAAGAAAATTTGTAGTCACTCTTAAGCAGTGGTCCTCAGCACAGAAAACACACTCTCCTCCTCGATGCTCAGATATAATAGTTCATTTATTCCCTGGTGTATTATTTTATTTGCTCATTCATTCCTTTATCCATCTACTCATGCAGTGAATTCATAAGCATTCAGACACTGGGTGTAAATGTTTCTGTTCTAGTGAAGTTTTCAGGTTAGTTAAGGAGAAAGACATAAATCATAAGTAGTACACTTAGGGATGTAAAATTACAAATTACATTAAGTGTCATGAATGAAAGGAACAGGTTTCTATCAGATCATGTGTGCTGGATGAACACAAGAATCTGTCCTTCCAGGACTATGGAAGCCACATTAAAGATTTGGGGTTTTATCCCAAGAGAAATAAGAATCTACTAATGGGTTTTATGCAAGAGTGACAAGTTCATACTTGTGTGTTGAAAAGATCACTCTGGCTGCTCTGAGTTGGAAAAGGGCAGAGTGGATGCTGGAAGATTCATTAGGAGATTTTGCGGTAGTTCAAGTGAGACATGATTAGCGTTTGGACAAGGATGGTGGTGATCGAGGATAGAGAAAAAAACTTTTATATACAGGTAATATATATATATTTCAGAGAAGGAGAAGTGTGGGCTAGTGTTACAAGACATGAGGCTATAGATGGTAATTAAGAGTCATGGAAAGGTTAGAATGACCCACGGAGACGGATATGACTAGGAAAAGAATACTGAGAAGAAAGTAATGGATATTTCAGCTTTTGTGAGGAGTATTTTATTGATTTCATTACTTGAGAATTATGATAGTTTCTTTGTACTAATAGTTAAAAAAATTGGAATGTTAAAATGAATTCAATCACATAAAATATAGATGGCAGATTTAAATTGTTTTCAAAGCATCAGTAAAGGAACCTTAAAATGAGAAAATAAAATCTGGGTTTCTGTGAAGCTGAGCCCTCACAGAAATATTTGGGCTTTGTTTTAATTTTGGTCCTGACTAATAAAGGACTAAGAATATACAAAGGCTATTTTTAAAACATAGGACTTTCTCTTAACCCACAATGGGGAGACTCCAAGTTAGAGAAAATAGGAATCAAAAGTTCTTTTTCCTCATTTACCTTGAAATTTATGATTCAGTCCACTCTTAGTAGAATCATAATCATCAATCAGTCTTCGATTCTTGGTTGAATCAACATCTTCCACATTCAGTTTATTATCATGTGGGGAGCTTCTAATGGATTGTCTTTCTTTCTCAATTTTTTCCTTTTCTGTTATTGCCTTTAGCAGGTTCAAGTTATCAACAAAGGAATAATTGCTTTCACCTGGCTTGTTTTCTGGAAGAAAAGCCCCCAAGCCCAACACATCTATTTTAGTTAAGATTTTCATAACCTTTTTAAAAAAAATTATATCAACATAATTTCTTTTTACCTGGAGGGTATGTTTTTTTAATCTTGTCTGCTTCTGCTTCAGCAATCTGGGAAGTAAATCGGAGGTAGACCTGGTTTTAAATCATTGCTCCACCACTTACCAAATATGACAGCTAAATGATTTAATCTCTGTGGGACTTAGTTTTCTTATTTGTAAAATATAGATAATAATTTCTATTTCAAAGCATTGCCATAAAGATTAAATGAGATAAAATAAAGGGCAGATGGTCTACAAATATTAATTCCCTTCTCCTGTAATATTGGGGAAAGATAAATCTGATAAATTAAGCAGTCTTAAAATAGAGTGGATGTGATGTTGGGCTTACTGGGTTATTATATAGTCATTTCTATGTATTATACAGAATTCTATGTATATAACTGTTAAGACATACAATTTCCCAAACTGTATTTTCCATCCTAATTTCTGTCAATTTATTTTTAAGCTCCTGAAGTTTGTGAATTCAAAATGGCTAAAATGTCACAGTATAATTACATTAAATATAATAACTAAAGTAAAATGAAATAGCATTTATAATTTTACTTTTGACCTACCTGTTCATTCAAAGGTCTTTCTGCACTTAATTCTCTGTTATGTAGGGGTTTGTCTAGAATAACCAAACACAAATATAAATTTAATTATGCAGTGGAAAGACACAATATGTCTCTTACTACATAAAATCTCCAAAAAAGAAAAACAAATATTAGGAGAAATTTTGGGGGGTGACTGTGAAACAAAAATACGTATTAACAAAGATAATCAAGATTATACAATAACAATGATTATCAACGTCGCTTTGCTTATTATCCTTGTGTACTTCCTGAGTTAATAGAATCACGCTTTTATTTTTCTGTCCAGAAATCTAACATTTAGTTCTAACACTTCTCTTACCAGCTGTTTCCAGCTAGATAGAGCATAATTTCGATTATGGAGTCCTGGCACATTAAAAGCTCTTTTATCATCTGCTGCACATATTAAGAATAAAATATCTGAGAAAGGTTGTAAGACAACTAGAAAAAAAATATGCCACTTTTTAAGGCGGAAAACCGCCCCCCTCGCCAGTTTCAAAATAAGATATTTCAAAACAACCCATGTTATTACTCTATCATTCAAAAAGTGTGTGGGGGAAAATCCGTCTTCCTGTCTCTACATTCGAACTGATTTCTCTGTCAATAAGCACGGATACGACCTGATCAGAAAAGAGGCAAGGTGATTTACAGTTTACGGGATTCTGCCAAGCTTTACCTCTTCGTGGTGAAATAAAAGGGAGGTGGGAAGAAAAGTGCCCACGTACCTTGACTGCCTCCCGGCTTGGGGAAAGCTTGGATTGGGCTGCTCTGGAGCACCAACACCAGAATCCAAGTGCCGGTCCAAAGGAACCCCATTCTTCCACGCTTGGCTTCAGAAGCAGCCCGGCGCCGGGCTCCCAGAGCTGTGGCTTTTGTTATGAATGAAAAGGAGGAGTAAAAACAGGAAGAGCCAGGAGGGCGGGTGAGGGGAGGGAGAGTGGCAGGGATCCAGCGGCCGGTGGAACTCCGCGCGGCTACCCGGTAAAGGGATTAGAAAGGCTCCGGGCGCTCGGAAGTCAGGTCTTCAGGTGGAGGAGAGCGCTGTCCGCCCCGTGGGTGCTGAAGTTCCTGTGACGCGAAGCCGGCCTCGGGTCGGCTAGGGCGTAGCCTTACTCTCTCTCCCTCCTTGAGAGGAAGTGAGGAAGGAAGCGCATGCTCCCTGAGAGTCAGAGGCGGGAAGGGATGGCGTCAGCGACTCCAATGCTACTCCAATCCCCCGAGAATGCAAGGGGGGAGGGGCGACTGGCAGGCTAGCGTATTTTCTGTGCCGCAGTCCTACGGGTGCTCCTGCGCTCAGGGTCACCTGGATTGCTATAAACGTGGACGTCACTGTCGTAACTTCCCAACCAAACGTTACCTCAAGGACCAAATGCCTTCCCTGCCCTTGCACCTGTTAAGGAGAGCTAGATAACCTTGTGTGAAGGTTTCTGTCTTGGGATAGTTCTGGGATATCTGCTCCAGAATCCCTTCTTTCCACTCCACCCCCTGTCCCCAAAAGGTAGATATAATTCTTACATCCTTAGAAAAGTCCTGCCTTTGTGATTTGGGTTGACATATAAAACGTCCCTCGTCCCTCAGTGCTCTTATTTCTGTCTTAGCTCCATGCAGTCTTTTGAATTGGGAAATTCAAGGAACGTTCTTTCAAGTAGAATGCTGCTACACATTCTCACTCTCCTAGATACTGAAGCAGAACTAAAAAAATTATTACCTGTTCCCCCAAGCATGGATGTCCTCATCAGTCTGGGGTAAGTAAGCATCAAGGGCCAGTTTCATTGTAAAATTCCCCCTTCCCCACTAAGGGGAAAGCTCCCTCTTCATCACCACCAGCACCACAAAGCAAGCAAACAAACAAACAAACAAACAAACCTGCATTCCGGTAAAATTCTTCCCCGGGATTCAATTATGCCTAAGGGCCTGGCTGTTCCAGAGGTCTTTGAAGAGAGGGGATAGTCACAAAAAGCATTTACATCATAACTAGGTCAGGAGGTGCTTCCTCTGTTCTGAGAATATTCCCCGAAGCCTAACATTATTGCATAAAAGGAGTTATCAAAGACTTTTAAATGATGAATACAAGCAACAGTAATGTGAGCAGGATGCTGAGTAAGCTCTTTAGTTTCTGATTTTTAAACAGAGCTTGGAATCTTTCCTTTGGACTGTGGCATTCTGGGAACCAATCTGAATAATGACCAAATAGAAGGATTCAGTACAATCAGGCCTTTGATTTCTGCTCCCTTGCTTTTCAAGGAGCAAGTTAGTCATTCAAGTACCTAAAAACAAACAAACAAACAAGCTAACAAACAAATCTCCCTTGTTCTGAAGGTTTTTGAGTTTGGAAGTCACTCAAATACTTCCCTTAAGAACCTGAAGAGTACTCTCATTCTAACAGCTATTTCAAAACAAATAGTTGTTTCTTGGTAGTGATAACATAGCATTATTATCCCAGTATACTAGTATACTGCATTTAAAAAATCGGCACAATTTAAGATCCCAGCTGAGTGAAGGGTAAATTTCCTTAGGTTCCTCTTCTTTGAAACAGAGATGACGGGCTCTGTTTACCTCATAATGTTATTGTGGGGATCAAATGGTACATTTTGATCAAGTCATTTTGATGCCAAGAATAATTTGACACAGCCTAAAAAAATAAGTCATGAAATGTTTTCAGCACTTAAGAAACATTACCGAATATTATGTGAAATAGCCATTTGCCAATACTGATACTCACTTACCTGATTCCTCTGTCTCACACTATTTTAAAAATCATTTTCCCCTATTTTTTTTATTGAAATACAGTTGACACACAATGTAACATTAGTTTCAGGTGTACAACATAGTAATTTGACAACTCTATACATTATGCTATTCTCACCACAAGTGTAGTTACCATTTGTCACCATATAACACTATCACAATACCATTGATTATATTCCCTATGCTGTGCCTTTCAACCTAGTGACTTATTCATTTCATAACAAGAAGCCTGTACCTCCCATTCCCCTTCACCCATTCAGCCTCACTCTTTTATTTTACCTGTTTCTGACTCACCTCTCTGCTCCATATATGTTTGCAGTTGAGAGAGGCTCAGGATAGAATGAAGGTAAGGGATGGCTACTGAGCACATTGCATTGCTTGCCAAAAATTTTTTAAAAAGGTGTTTGACCTTCCTCTGCCATTTGGACTCCAAGTGACTATGTTAAATGGACACCGAATCTAAGAACATGTTATGTTTCTGATCAAATGAGCTGTGGAACACTGAGTAAACTGGAAGGCATGAATTAGTTTACATTCCTCAGTCTTATGGATGTTTCTGCTGGACACAGTGTAGGTCTGAATGGAGTGATCCTAAGTTTCATTTATTCATTTAACAGATGTTTATCAAGCACTTGAAATGTAGCAGGTATTGAGATAATTGCTGGGTATACAAAGATAAAAAAGATGGCCACTGCTAGCTAGTCTTATAGCCTAATAAAGAGAAAGGACTGTGATTATAACAACAATAAATACAACTATTTACTGAGTAGTTTTCATGTCCTACACAGTGATCTCATTTAAATATAAGTGAACAAATAAACACAAAAGTGTGTTATGTTATGGGTCTTCTCTTTTATGTGCAGAGTTCAGGTGGGGTGCAAATAATGGAATGAGTGGTCAGGCAAGGTTTCAAAGAGAAGATATCTTTTTTCTTAATCATAAAAAGATTAAAATGTTTGATTATTGTGTATATGTACACTATAAACATTGACTAGTGTCAAAAATACATGTTGAGATTATAAGTGTCATTGACACAGATCAGATGATCATAAAATAGACAACATACAATGTACAGGTATTTTGTCAGGGCTTCTTGTATATAGGTGAACACACACATGGATTGATTGTCACGCTCTCATTCACTGGTGTAGAAGATGTCTTTTGAGCTGTGTCTTGAAGATAGAGATATTTAAATGATGTTTTTATTCATTATTGAAAAATCATTATATTAATTACTGCATCTTTTATGATAGGAAATTTCAAACAAGCACAAAAGTAGAGAAAATACTGAAACTAACTCCCATGTGTTCATTACCCAACTTTATTAATTTTATTTTATTATGTTACGTTAGTCATCATACATTACATCATTAGTTTTTGATGTAGTGTTCCATGATTCATTGTTTGCATATAACACCCAGTGCTCCATGCAATACGTGCCCTCGTTAATACCCATCACTGGGCTAACCCATCTAGCTATTATCCCACTAAAACCCTCAGTTTCTTTCTCAGAGTCCATAGTCTCTCCTGGTTCATCTCCCCCTCCAATTCTACCCCCTTCATTTTTCCCTTCCTACTATCTTCTTCTTTTTTTTTTTAACATATAATGTATTATTTGTTTCAGAGGTACAGGTCTGTGATTCATCAGTCTTACACAATTCACAGTGCTCACCATAGCACATACCCTCTCCAATGTCCATCAACCAGCCCCCCCATCCCTTCCACCCCCCCATCACTCCAGCAACCCTCAGTTTGTTTCCTGAAATTAAGAGTCTCTTATGGTTTGTCTCCCTCTCTGGTTTCATCTTGTTTCATTTTTTCCTCCTTTCCCCTATGATCCTCTGTCTTGTTTCTTAAATTCCTCATATCAGTGAGATCATATGATACTTGTCTTTCTCTGATTCACTTATTTTGTTTAGCATAATACCCTCTAGTTCCATCCACGTCATTGCAAATGGCAAGATTTTGGGGTCTTTTTTTATGGCTGCATAATATTCCATTGTATATATACCACATCTTCTTTTTTTTTTTTAAAGATTTTATTTATTTATTTGACAGAGAGACACAGCAAGAGAGGGAACACAAGCAGGGAGAGTGGGAGAGGGAGAAGCAGACTTCCCACGGAGCAGGAAGCCCGATGCGGGGCTCGATCCCAGGACCCTGGGATCATGACCTGAGCCAAAGGCAGACACTTAATGACTGAGCCACCCAGGTGCCCCCCACATCTTCTTTATCCATTCATCTGTTGATGGACATCTTGGCTCTTTCCATAGTTTGGCTATTGTGGACATTGCTGCTATAAACTTTGGAGTGCACGTACCCCTTCAGATCACTACAACATTACCCAACTTTAATGGTCATTAACTCATGACTACTCTTTTTATTTTATATTCCCAAACACTTTGCACCCCCAGTGGATTATTCACCTGTAAAAATCCCAGGCTTCATATCATTTCATCCGTAATTATGTCAGTATGTTTACCTAAGAGATAAGGATTCTTTTTTCCTAACATTACTGTAATATCTTTAGAATACATCATAATAATAATACTGCCTTAGTATCATCAAATAGCCAGTCAGAATTCAAACTTCCCCACTTGCCTTATAAGTATTTTGACAGTTGGTTTGCTTGGACCAAGATCTAAACAAGGCCATGCATTGCATTATGTTGGCATGTGAGAGACACATATGAATATAAGATTGGAAAGATACATGCTGCAAGTTTTTCTTTGAGTTCCCCATACAAGTTAGTTTCTTCCTTAGAATATTGTGTACACTTCCAATGTAGCATGTAGCCATTGTGCTGCTTTTTGAACATGCTTCTTTTTCCTTATTTCAAAAATAATAAATATACATCAAAAGGAAATTATGAAAATACAGATAAGCAAAAAGGGGAAAAATCTGATAGAGATAACCACCGACTTTTGGTATATGTCCTTTTGGTGCATAGATTTTCCTAAGAAAATATTTTATATATATCTTTACAAAATTGTATTTCATACTATAATTATCTGCTTATGTAATTTATCCCACTCACTATTTATCCCACTAAACTATGAGATCCTCAAAGGAAAGGATCTTGTCTTATTTATTTTTCATTTCTCAGCCATCCTTACAGCATCTGGAAACCTATTGGCTTAAATAAATGAATAAAATGATGAGGATTACAAGTTTACCTTTGGTCTTCAAATGCTGAGACTTTGATGGTTGTTCCACACTGGAGGTTTAGAATGGCCTTATGGTGCCAGGAGCTGCCAGTTCCTTAAAGAACTGTTATCCCCTCTATCAGTATGAATCTCCACTCAGCACTTTTTTTTACACAAAAGAGTAGTCTTGCCGAAGAGGTGTTCATGAAAGGCCTAAGAATAGCAAGGCAGAGCTGGCAAAGGCCCTCA